TACAGTGGATGTATAATAACAGAGAGCACACTGGACAATTTAAATAGAGAGTGAAAAAAGGATACGACGGAGAGCTTGCAGCGGCCCATGATGTTATGTCATGAGTGTACATTATCAGTTATTTGCTGGAACTGTTCTCATTGCCCTTCATTGCAGTTACCATTTTGGATACACCAACTTTTGTTTAGTTTCCCCTCAGATTTTTTACATGCTAACTAAAAATGGTGTATGTAAGAGCACCTATAGAGAGGGGGATGTGACAAACGTGGCGCTGTTATTCCACCTCCAACAACACTGCTGCGTCTGCATCTTCATACAAAATCAACCATGATGCCGCTCAGTTTGTGATTTTTAAATGCATGCCGGTGTTCTGAAATCAAAAGAGATGTGACGTGTAACATCATCTGCATCTAGTATGACAAAACATTCACGTTGGGCAGAACTTTCTGAGCGATTAAAATGGCATAACATGGGAACAACGATCATTTACCATCGCTCTCTGCTCGGGTGGTAAAGAGCTCCTGTACTTCATTGTATCTCCAATTGGCAGACATTTTTGGCTGCTGTTGTTATTCTTTCAGTTAGCCACTAACTGCTTCTAGCTACTTTTTAAATCTCCTGTCTGAAACAGCAGTGTCAAAGGGGCTTAATTCACAGAATAGCAGCAACAGAAAATGTCCTCAAAGTGGGGAGACAATGAGGTCCAGAAGCTCCTTTCCCTTCGAGCAGAGGATGACATCAACAGACGTAACATAGGGGCACTAAGTGAATGTTATTCTTTTGCTTCTGAAATGTCAGCATGCTTTTCAAAATCACACACTGGGGCAGCACGATTCCAGTGTTGTTTGTTTCTTTGTAATAAAGTAAAGCTGGCAAAATTAAGATTCTTTGTTGCAGCAGCATCCTGGGATCTCTGTGTAAAAGAGGATTTTAAGACCATCTGACTCGGAGGACATTCACAGTGTTGCGTTTGGTCGTTCACATGAAAAGACGGAGTTGTATTAAGAAACTAGAGGAAGTTGGTCCATCAGTTCATAATGTGGGCCTGATTATTGGTTTCGGATACAGTCAGTCATTCTCGTGTCTAAAAGGTGTGGAGGGGACCGTCCAACAAACACTTCTGATGCCCAAAGGCCAGGCAGACACCAAAACTGCATGAAAAAATGCCTGACCTTTATACATTTGAATGAGGCCACTTCACTGACACAGTCAGGGTTCAGACTCCGAGAGATCCAGGAAGAAAACCCTGTTGGCTGTCCTACAAAATCTGTCTCAACACAGTGTGGTGTCATCCGGCAAGGGAAGCGCTGGCCAATCGCACATATGCATGAGCACGTTCCTTGTAGAATTACTTGGTAGTGTGAATGCTGTGTGTTTGTGTTAAAATCGTTGCCACTAAATAACATGGTTATTGCTGTGATAACTTTCTAGGTATCCAAAATCCTGTCTCATAGTTTGATGAACCACTGTGCAGAGTTTTAGTGTCTGTTAAGCCTTCAAAGTCAGATCCATCACCCAAACTGGATATTTTTAAAGGCTTCTTTTGTTTGTTTTTTTTTTTTTTTTTTTTTTTTTTTTGAACATGATGGTACTGAGTTTAAATCCAGATGTGCTGCCTTGTCCTTTGTGTGTGAGGTTTGCTTGTTCTCTCGATGTCTTGTGTGGGTTTCCTCCAGCTCTGTTTATTTTTTGGGTTACCCGGTGACCCTGCATGGTCTACAAGGAACATTAGTAACCTGGTTATTAATCTCTCTGTATAAATATCTCTAAGATCCTCCTGGTCTGTGCTCATCTGTGCAGAGAATGTGCATCTGACTCCTCCACATTCAGCCATTCAGCTGCAGGAAGTCGCACCAGAACCAATTTTTTGGGGGGGTGGCAGGGTTGTGTCTCGGTGCAACCAATCAGAAAGTCTGCTTTTTTTGTGCTGTCAGTGAAAACCTTCCCTTGATTTTAATTAGACTCCCATTTCATGCTGCCAGCGGGACATCTGCGCACACAGCAGCACGTAAACCTCTACAGGTCAGAGGTCAGCAGTTGAGGCAAACTGAAGGCAACATATATAATGAACAGGAACATGATAGGATCAAACTGTGTGTGTGTATTTCTGTCTTTCTAAGGACCATTTTGAGGGCATGTTTGGAAAGTGAAGACGTGTTTGTCCAATCCTCACCTTCTTTAAAGCTGTTGGTGGCTAAGACCTGGTTTTAGGGTCCGTGTCAGAGCTTGTTTGAGGGTCTGGGGAATGCACTCTGGCAATGAGGGTCTTCACAAGTCTGTTATTACAAACGTGTGTGTGTGGATGGGTTGTTGGGGTACAGTCACTGCTAATAAGCATGGCACACTTTTTATAACACACACACACACACACACACACACACACACACACACACATACACAGTAGGGAGTCTGTCTGATTAGGTTCAGGTGTGTGTCTGTGGTTGTTGTGTGTGACCACAGTCTGACACCTCTGTAACAAGGTGGAGAAAGAGAAAGAGTGTGTGTGTTTCAGTGTGTGTGTGTGTGCAGCAGGGCAACATGAAAACAAGGTCAAGGCTGTAAAACTGCTCTGCTGTAACACACCTCATGAGAATCCACATCTTTGTGCAGGGACACAGAGGAAGGGATTCTGTGGCTCAGGAGGGAGTCGACGTTCACACCTCGGCTTATCTCACCAGTCATCGTGTGTCACTCTATCTGCCGTCCTTTGTGTTAAATAGAGCTGCTGGGTGGAGCTTGGACCGTTATTCAGCAGAACCAAACAACTCAAGTAGTGTCTTTGTATTTTGGTGACAAATTTTACTCTAGAAATACCCAATCCAGGTGATTTTACTGGACAATTTCAAGTATTGACGCCATCTAATGGAGCCTGGCAGGTGTCTTATTACAGTTAAGTTACTGCAGCAGCAGGAACTGAAGTCACAGGTTTTTGTTCCTACTCTGGTCAGTTAGAGACGAGCACCTGAAGTATTAGCAACAGGCTAGTTGCTGTGTTTTGGTACTGCTGCTTATAAATACTGAATTTATTCCTTTATATTTACATTGTCAGGTTACTACATTCATTATATTTGTCATTTTGCTGTAAAGCTTCATTGAATTTACTTTCAGCAAGTCTGGTCACCTTTGGCTGCTATCTGCACGTGTATGACTGTGAACGATAAGATTAGATAAGATATAATGTAAGTTTTTGTTGTGACGCTGTTGCAGTACAAAGAGGGAAATAGTGCAAATAAAACAAAGTAGAAACAGTGAAGATTATCAGTAATGTGCAAAAACCAAATGAAGACAAACAGTAAAGGGCCACAGGTTTGGAATCAAATCCACGGCCGCTGTGGCAAGGACAAAGCCTTTTTACATGGGGTGTCTGCTCTACTAGGTGAGCTAATGGGTGCCCTGATCAGTGACTCTGTTTGTTTGTTTGTTTGTTTGTTTGTTTTTTTTGCTGTTGTTGTTGGTTGGTGTGCATTGTGCTTTAAGGGACATTTCTTTGCCCAGATGTGGCTGCATAGTCAGCATTCCTTTCTATCACACTGCTCTCTGGCACAGGCAGCTGCAGACCCAGACCCAAGGTGAGTCTGAGTGAGACAGAGGACGCTGCCTGGATGAAGAGAGGCTTTGCCACTATTTAGAAGTGGTGAATTTACAGCTCACAGCAACTTAATACGATATAGTTTCTGGCTTTTGTTTGATATCTAGTGTTGGCAAAAATGTAGTTACACATTTCCAATATATTGTTAGCATTGTTAGCACCCAGGGCTGGCTTGTTTACTATATAACATGAACATCACTGTCACCCTGGACATCCCACTGAACCCAGTTCAAACTCTTAAACTCAATAAGTAAACATAGGAACAAGTAGTAGAATATTTGTATTCAAGAGCCAAATCTGATTCGAGTGACATAATCCTGAGGCACGTTCAGCCCTTGTCAGATCATGAACACTTGAATCTAAAATAGCTGCTTGGATTTAATGCAGTTTGAAATAAGAACTACAGGGAACTACTTTGGTTTTAGCCTATTTACTTGTTGTGTTATCCTTGACATCCTTTAAACATAACGTATGTCACAATGTCCAGTCGACTGTTCTGTACGTTTGTGCACACGAGATTAACTTAAGATCTTCTTGATAGCCTGATCATCAGACTGAACGTCCATTTTCTTCCACTTCGTCCTTTCAGTCTGACGTCATGTTCGTGTTTGCCATTTTCTGACTGAGAGAGTGGGTCATGCTCTAAACCAGTGGTTTCAAACTGGTCCAGCCACAGGGTCCAGATTTCTCCTTAGTCATTAGTTCAAGGTCCACATAGTTTAATATAATCAGCGTCATACTTGTGTTTGGCCATGTCATTGAGCTAGTTTGCTGTCTCTATCAAGTAGCTGTCCATTAGGCACTCACTCTACAACAGGAGACGACCCTTCAAAATAAAAGCTCTGTGCTGGAAATTCACTTTACTTAAAAATAAAGTGTGTAAAGTTTATATGTTAGCAAGTCACTTGCGGTCCATTCAGAATGGACCTGTGAACCACCAGTTCGGAACTACTGCTTTAAGCCAATCAGCAGTGACTGATGTGTCTGCGCTATCAGCTGACACAGAGGCTGTGGCAGCAGTTACTTGAAGCAGTTGGTTGAACATTGATCATCAACCCTGTACGGCTGCTCGCACTGGTTGTTTTATTTTGCCTAAGGCCATTTTTCTGGCTCTGGCACAGGAAGATGACGCCCCCATTCTTAATCCCACCTACAAAGATCTGATTGTTTGAGTGTTTGTCCCACCTTGGAGTCAGCTGTCAATGAGCACTACAACAGACCTGTTTGAATCACCGATGATATAATCAGAGATTGAATTACAGGACCAGATCTGTTGCATCCTAACGGCAAAAATCAGATCCAGTATTCTTATCTGTGATAAAAATGGTCACCCATGAAAGATTTTAATGATTTTAAGTAGCCTAAATACTGTAACAGCCTTTAATGTGTTGTGTCTTTGTCTCTCTCTCAGGTGCAGTCTGGTGCAGATGGAGGTCGGAGGTTGGCTGTCACCTTCAGAGCTGACAGTGAGTTCATCTATAATCCTGTGAATGTGTACAATGACTTTGGTTTATCTTGAATTCCCAGGGCTTGCCAACACCTTCTTACTTTAAGTAACTGTCCAGGTGGTGGCACAGTTCCAAGCAACCTAATATTTTGGCATCAAACTCAACAGTAAAACATAAATTTAACCTCACACAGGCTGTGGGGATTCAGTCCCGATGTTTTAACATTTAGATTCCCGTCAGTTTCTCCAGAAACTACAGTAAGTTGCTGTATCGGAAAATTTTCCTCTGAGGGTACATCCTTCTTTTAAACTTAAAAATCAATCACTGAATTTAATCAAAGTCAATTTTTATTTCCCATTATGTTACCCAGTGTGAAAATCTGAAGCCCCCTCACCCCCGGCATCTCCACCCCCTTCATCCTCTTCCTCCTCCACCATCCTCCTCCTCTTCATCTTTTGTTCTTTTCTCTCTAAAAGTCAAGTTCCTGAGCCGTAGCCGATCCCTGCCTGCTGCCTTTGTCCGTGACCATGAGCGAGAAGCACTTTGAGATTACGTTTTGTGTGTGTGTGTGTGTGTGTGTGTGTGTGTGTGTGTGTGTGTGTGTGTGTGTGTGTGTGTGTGTGTGTGTGCGTGCGCGCAGTTTTCAAGCAGTCCCTATATAAAACTGCAAATTAACCATTTCAGACTTTTGGATGAGTTTGTATCACTTAAGAGTTTTCTTCCTGAGAACGGAGACAGAGAAGAAAATAGAAATCAAAACAAAATAAAATAAGTGTATAAAAAAGTGTTATGATAATCAACAGGTTAATTCATTGCACATCTTGTCTTCAGGGCTTCTGAGTTGTTTCACGTTAACATTGTTAATAACATTAATTGACCGGGAGAAGTGGACATATTATGAATCAAACCGTTGCACCAAGAATTAGAATCAAACCCAATTTAGAAATTCACAAATCAGCCCCCCCGGACGTAGGCAAGTTAGCAGTTTCCCTCTGTTTCCAGTCTTAATGCTAAGGTAAGTTAGCCAGTTACAGGCTTGAGTTACCTGTATAGACATGAAAGTGGTGTCAGTTTTTTCAATAAACTGCAAGATAGAAAATAAGCATATTTCCCAAAATGTCAAACTGTTCATCTTATAAAAGACGTTACTGTTCTTTTTTTTCAGCTGCCTCCATAAGGTCTTCTTTCAAGATGAGTGATTCATTTAATCTATTCCTAATACATATTAGGTCACCAGTAATCTGGAGGTCAGGGGTCAGAAGGTCATGTGACTTTTAAAATGACGATGCATCCGCTTCTTACTAACAAGGAAATGTGTGAAAACCCACACACTTTGAGCCAAAGTAAAAGCACTGAGGTGTTTTAGCATGACAATCACAATCAGCTTAGTGTGTGTGTGTGTGTGTGTGTGTGTGTGTGTGTGTGTGAGAGGGAGTGACACACCTCACTGCTTCCTTTCCTCTGAATCTTCAACTCTATGAGGATGAAGGAAAATCAGAGGCCTCTTCTTCTTCTTTTCACTGACTGGGTGACCTTTAACCTCTAGGTCACTGATGGAAGGCAGCAAATCAGCAAATCTTAACTTTTCCGTAAAAAGACCAAAACCAACCATGAATGTATCTAATAACTAATAATTATCTGTGTATCCAAACACATGTATATCCTCTTCCTCTGTGTCACAGAGCTCCATTGTCGTCCACAAAATGTTTAAAAAAAACACACCAATGAGCCATACTGTTGCACTGGGTGACATGTCCTGTCATTGCCATGAATACATACACTGTAGTTACCTTAAAGATATCAGGTACCAATACCCAGCTCTACATGACCTGTTGCCCATAATACTCACTAGAGCATCATGTGGATTAATCTGCTGCTGAAAATAGTCCTAAAAACTATTTCCTCCTGTTTGTGTAATGTTGAAACGTCATATTTGTGATTCATTTTTAAGGAGTTACATCTTGAGTAGAAACCATTGGGTTTGGGGCTGAAATTAATTACAGATTGAATGGCATATTGTTGGTTTTGGTCTTTACATGGAATACGTTGACATTAGAAAAAATCCAGAAAAATCTGAAATGACAGCAGGTGTATTTTCAATAAGGAACACTGAATCAGAGAGCTTCAAATAAGGTTGTGTGCTCCACTAACAGCAAACTGAAGCTAAAGATTGTGCTAGAATCCAATAAAACACATTCTGGGTCAGGTTTTGCTCCAAACTGCACCAACGAAACTTTTTGAGTTTGAGTTTTGCCTCAAACTGTCCTTTGCTTTGTAACAACAGCAGCTGAGCCTCATGGGTATCGTAGTATTCAGCACATTATACCATACCACAAAGGCATAACAGATTACTTAGCTTTTCATCCACAAAGAGTTTTATTATAAAAGGAGATAAAAACACAAGGAAGAAGGGTATGTGAAGGCTCTAACCTCCATGTCCTCCTCTTAATTTCTTAAACTGGAGTGAGCACGGGAGGAAGAGGAGCAGGGAGGTGAAAACCAAATACGAAGCTTTCATCCTCCTCTTCCTCCTCTCCTTTGTCTTTTAAATAAACTCTGAATACAAAGAGGAGGAAAGGAGGAAGAGGAGGCACAAGCTCCAACCTTCCCCTCCTTTTACTATCCAATAGAGAAGCTTTATGATTGAGGAAGAGGAGGAAGAGGAGCATCCAGCTGTGACCTTCTCCTTTAGCCCTGAACATGACCCCGCTTTGAGGAGGACGAGAGGAAGAGGAGCAGTGACTCGTGTCGCATCCCATGCTCTCCCAGCCTCCTCCCAGTCATCTCCATCCTTTTTTTTTTTAAGCTCTTCTCCTCTGTCCTCTCTGCCTCCTCCTCTTCCTCACCTCAATCCTCTCCCTCAATAGGTGGCTGGCAGGAGGAAAGAGGAGCAGTGAGTCGTGTCTGAGCTCACGCCCCCTTTTCTTTCTACATCCTAAGTCCATCTTTTCTCCTCCGATCTCTCTCGGTTCATGGCTGGCTGCTCCTCCTCCTCCTCCTCCTCCTCTGGCCCTCCATCTTTATCCCTCATGATAAAACAAGAGAAACTTGTGAAAAAGTCCCTAAATGACGGATACATAACAGCAACAACAATTAAAATAGTATTAATACATAATTAAAATCAATGAATACATTATATTTTTATGGAGTAAGATACTCAGCAATATTGAAAGTAATTAAAATGAGCTCCACCTTTACCAGCTGCAACAGATGTTTCAATACCATTTTTTCCTGTCTGATACAGATTCCAGTACCTGAACATTCGTATTGGGTGATTTGATACCACCATACTAAAAAACAACAACAAAAACTTGCAGTATACGACAACACAACACTTAATGGGAGTAACATTATTACTATTATCGTTGTATGGCATGGCTCACCCCTCGAAACTGAAGCCATGCATACTGAACATGTTTTTTACTGGTGCGACTTTCCGGTGTAAAATATTGCCAAGTTGCAGGCATTTTGCTAACGGCTAATGAAACACGATTTACCGTAAATCATTTCTTCTTTACCAGTCTGAAACAGTTACTGTCAGTGGCTGCACAGAGCAGCTTGCTGGTTAGGCTACAGTTTCAGAGCCATGAAGAAGAACTGCCTTTTTATCTGGGTGTGAAACTGCCTATAAGTTTATTAATAAATTAGCTGGTATCAAGATTGGTGCATAGACTCACATACTCGCCAATACTGGATCCAACATTTTCAAGCAGAGGCATTTACAGTGCTGGACATCAGTTTCAGAATAACTCTCATATTTATAAACCAATTCTGTAAAAAGTAGGATGAGAAAATAGGATGAGTACTTATAGTTTTTTTTTTACTTTAAAAATATTTTGATGCTCTAACTTTTGTATTTTCATTTCAGTAAAATATTGAATGCACTTTTATTAGTAACAAAGAATTTCTAGACTGTAGTGTTGCTTAGTGTTGTAAAAAATAGCGATTTATTGTAACATATTACCTCTGAATATAAAGAAGCTGTCATTGTCGTTGTCTGTTATAGTCTTGTTATATTTGTCTTTTAATACAAATTTTAACTTAATGCCCTCAATGTCAAGTTTCCTTGTGGTATTGAAAATGGTAGCAAGTATCAATATTTTTCAAAATTAAAAGTTCCAGTATCACGACTAATATTGCTACTTTGACTGAAGTAATAAATCTTCCACCACGAAAGGAAGACGGTGATACAGCCACAGTCACCACCTGCACCACAGGGTGACTCGTAGAACTGTGATAAAGAAATGCAGCAATAGTTGTTAAAAAAAAAAAACATGTAATAATGATGTGCTGTTGTCGATCTCTCTCTCTCTCTGTCTCTTGTCCTGCAGATTGTTCGTTAAACTACCCGTTGGGGAAACATGTGATCCATGAGGTCTCCAACGTCTCCTTCAGCCATCTGGCCTGTGAGGATCAGGCTGCTGTGGTTGTCCACTGGTCTGCCAGTCCACTAGGTACCTGTCTGTCTGTTTATCTGTCCCTCTCTGTGTGTGAACCTATCTGTCCCTTTACTTACACATCCCTCCACTAGTAGCGATTTATAGCCGTCTTACCACCTTTGGCTGCGCCGAGTTAAACCATGCTGTTCCAATTTGCGTTACCTTAATCAGTTTTAAATGTCCAAATGACAGACACGGCATTTCTCTTACAAGCTGCTCAAGTTGCTCAGTTGGCTCGGTGTTTTGAGTCTTCCTCCATGTTGCTTCCGGGTCACAGACTCGACAGGGTGCAGTAGTATGTTTTTAAGGAGACAGTACATGAATACACACAGTGGGGAAAGCATTTACAGAATTTAAAAAGAAATCAAAATTACCGATATTGGCAAGATTACGTCGGTTAGAGGCTCTGAATGTTGGTTTTGAATAATTTTCTATTTATTGCCCAGCCCTAGCAGGAGACCAGAAAGAACGGCGTTTTTAAAAGTGTCTTTGTGTCCAGCTCTGAGAAGATAAGTTAAGTTTCTGCTAATGAAAACTCAACATTTCCTTATTTTGCTGCTTCACAATAAAAAAAAATCCTTTCCATAACAAAGTAGAGAGAGAAGGGAAAATGAGGGAGGAGGAGCAGGAAAGAATAACCCTTCAAAGTGCTCAAATCTGTAAGATTACCCAGCTCTGTGACAGTGTGTCTGTGTGAGTGTCCCTGTGTCTGTGTGTCCCTCTGTGTGTGTGTGTGTGTCCCTTTGATCAGGCCCGGAGAATAAGAGAGAGGATCACATCTCACACTACAATACCACGATTTGACCGTGAAGGAATGTGTGTGTTCGTGTGTGTGTGCGCGCGCTCAGTGTAAGGTGAACTCTCCCTCGGTGACAATACAGCCTGTTGTTTTCTCACGGAGAGACAGAAATCTTCCAGAAATTTTCCATGTCACAGTCGCATGTGAGAAGCAGCAAGAATCCAGAATCTCTCTGTCAAACGTCTCTTAAAAACCTGCACAGCTTCTTTTCTGCCCGCTGAGGACTCAAAGTTAATAAAACAAACATATGTTTTGTTGTTTGCAAAGTGGATTCTTCAGCTGTCCAGTATGTTTCCAGTGTAAGGTAAACCCTGCTGCAGCCATAGCAGAGGATAAGATCTATATATGTATACGTGTATTTATAAAGCAAAAACTGCATGTTAACAGGTTTAAATTCAGGTCCAGTGTGATTGTCATTTGTGCTCTTTGTCATACTTTTCTCAAGATATCTGCAGATTTTTCATGAAAGAAAAGTGCTTTTACTAAAATTAAAGATGCTGAAACACTGAATTTAACTAATAATGTCACAAATATGACAACTTCATGTCACAATAAGTAGTAAGAGTTTCTCTGCAGCAGGTGGAGGAGGCCTGCTTTTGGTTTGTTGAGAATTGAGGATATGACAAGAATTATATGACTGCCAAAAGTCATGTGATCGTATTATAAAACCATTTCACCTTGTTTTCATTATGAATTAGTTATGAATCAGGATTAGGAATTCGTTGCATTGCAGTCCTCTGAATGTGCTTCAGAAAGGACCAGAGTGCTGCTGAGTGTAGTCTGTCCTGCAGCACCTGATATTTGCACTTTGGGAATCACATGACGGGCCACATGTGTTTTACACTTCAGCCGTAATACTGCACAGACGTGAACTCTACATCATGTAGAGTTTGATGCGTTGTTTCTAGTCTTATATGATCAGGTAATCTGGGCCTTGGGCTTAGATTTGACATGAAACACATAATGGAAAAGTGAAATTATGACATCATCGCTTCGATTGTTGCTGATGATTCACGGTGATGGAGCAGACTCTTCAGCTGTTCTTTCTGATTTTTAGTTTGCTGATTTTCAGCAGATATAATGTTTATAATGTTAATCGCTTTAGTTTAGCAGGTTAGCATGCTAACATTTGCTTATTAACACTGAACACAAAATGAAGCTGAGGGAATCTCATTAGTTTTGCAGGTATTTGGTCATAAAGCAAAATAAAGCTGAAATAATTATTTTGAAGTTTATCGACAGAAAATTAATATGAAATCATGTTGATAATGGATTCATCGTTTAAGTCATTTTTTAAGCAAAAATGCAAAACTTGGGTTGCATCAGTGAAAGATTTTCACGGCATGATCAGAAAATACCACAATTTTACGGTATTACGCAATTATGATAATGAACAGATACAGTTTCCCTTAAAAACTGAAAACAGAAGTTATTTATTATTGAAACAGGTGCTTTACTATAACTGAAACTTAAGCAGGTGTAAAAAACTTCCGTTTTGAAAATAAAGGTGAGATTTTCTCTCCAATTTAATTGTTTTTTTCTTTAAAAACAATAGATAAGCAAATGTACATGGCATGAATGTAACGAAATAAGATGGAAGACACTTAATTGTCATTATAGATGTGCAAAGAAATTCTGTGTGGTGAATCACAGGCTGAAGGCTGCACACAAATGATATAAAAACGTTACATAAAAGACAGATTTAAAACAGTAAGACAAGATAAGAACGAGGTAAAACCACAGACAATGATGAGACGAAACAGTGACAAATAACTAACTGCATAAATAATAATAAGAGGTGTGTCTGAAATACCAATAAATAGATGCCAGCAGCAGATTCATAGCTCATTATAGATAAAGTTATTGCACAATATAAAGGGCTGGAGCTTAAATCAGCGCGATGTGTGTGTGTGTGTGAGCATGTGTAGTGGGTTAGCCCTTAGCCTAGCTTGTAGGCTGCCTTTTTTGTCCTGCTTTTGCTTCCGTTCTCTACGCTGCCTCCGACGTTACCTATGTGGGATGACGATAATTCCACCAGGCTCAACAGTATGCAAGATCTCTCGTGGAATAGAGTCCAGGCTCTTGGATTTATAATCTTGAAATTGACCTTCCATATCAAAAAGTTCGGCTCTTTCATAGTGGATACGATCCTCGAGTGCCTGAACTAGCAAACATAACTCACACAAAGTAACAAAAATGCTAATTTGCTTAGAGTATTGAGCCGATGCAACCACATGCGCCGCCATCAATGTACAAGAGTTAATTATTCCAGCTTCCTCAGTGTATTTTATATCACAGTAAACTGATTATCTTTGAGTTTGGGACAAAACAAGACATTTGATGACGTGATCATTGGCTCTGGGAAACTGTGATGGGCATTTTTGCGTTACTTTAAGTAATAGAAAATATTGGATCGCCAGAATCAGTTGGATTCACCTTTTAGGGAACGTGTTCTGTACAAAATGTGTTGACGTTTCAGTCTAGATCAAAGTAGTTAGATATCTTTAATCAAGGTTAAAACATGTAGACACAACCAGACATTATACTGAAGGGGAGAAAAAGACAGACGAGCACAAACCTGCCGTCACACTGCAGCTGTCGTTAAAATGCACAAACATCCTCGTCTGTCCTCGACTCTGCAGGAGACACAGAGAGAGACGGAGATGTTCAGGAATCTGCCTCAAGACAGAAAAACCTGTTCCACCGCTGCTCTCCTCGCTCCCTCCACTCCCCACAGAGCTAATAGGAAAAACATGTCCTGTGGATGTAAAGGTGTAATTACAGGACAGACGTGTTTTCAAAGAGCACAGAGGAAGAGGGGAGGAAGAGAGGAGGACGGGGGCGGCAGGGAAGAAAGGGGACAAGGAGCACAGGGGAGGAGATAAAATGAAACAAGACAGGGGAGGTGTTAGGAAGGGTAAAAGGAAACAGGGAGAAGTGTTGGATCGAACTAGAAAACAAGATGAGAAGAGAAGGAAAGGAAACAAAAAATGGAGAGGAGGGAAAGGAACAAGGAGAGGACAGGTGGTCGTAAAACGAAACAGGAGGGAGGGGAGTGGGGAATAATGAGAGGAGAGGAAACAAGTAGAAAAGAGAGGGGCAGAAAGAAAACAATGAGAGAAGGAAAGGAAATTAAATAAGGAGATGAGAAAAAATGAACAAGGAGAGAGGATGGGGAGAGGAAATTTGAGAGATGGGTAGGAAACGAGGATAGAAGGACAAAGAAGGGGTCAAAGAAAGTAATGGGGGAAAAAAGAACAAGGAGAGGAAAGAAAGGACATTAAGAGAGGAGATGAGAGGAGTAGAGGATATGAAACAAAGAAAGTGAAGGAAAGGAAACATGAAGAGAGGAGAACAGAAGATAAAGGAAAAGATAAACAGTAAAGGAAACAAGGAGTGTAGGAGAGAAAGGGAAACGGTGAGGAAAGGAAGAAAGAACAGCAAGAGGAGTATAGGATAGAAAAGTGATGGAAAGGAAATGAGAGGCAAGGAAAGGAAACAAGGAGAGGAGGAAAGAAGAGGGCAGGAGAAAGTAATAAGAAAAGAGGTAATGAAAAAAGTAGAAAAGAAGGGGCAGGAATGAAAACAATGAAAAGAAGAAAGGAAATGAAACAAGGAGAGGAGGTGAGGACATTAGATGAGGAGGCAGGAAGACAAGAAGAAGAAAGAAGGAAATGAAACAGAATAAGGGTATGGAAATGAAGAGAGGAGAACGGGATGAAAGGGGACAAGGGGAAGAAAATAAATGAAGAGATGAGCAGAGGAAAGGAAACAAGGGGAGTGAAGGGAAGGCGGAGAGGAGAGGAGGAAACAAGGAGAGAAGGATGGATGTGATGAACTTGTTGTTGTGTCTCTGCAGGAATCGAACACATTAAAGGTTTCAGAGTTTATCTGGAGGACAAGAATCCAGAAGGGAAACAGTGTCAACATCTGATCCTCAAAGACCCTCGACAGCTCAACTTCTCCTACAGGAACACGGTAGGACCAAAATTAATGACGCAGCAAACTGACCAGTCACAGGGAGGGATGAGGCAGCTGCTTGTTGTTGATTACATTCTTTATAGTGCATCATCCAAAGCCCTAAATAAACTCTAATACATCCAGAACTCTGCTGCCCGTCTGCTCACCTATTCCCGCTCCTGCAATCGCACCACCCCTGTCCCCCAGAACCTCCACTGGCTTCCTGTTCCACACCACATCCAGTTCAAAGTCCTCCTCCTCACTCAAAAAGCCCTCCATAACCAGGCCCCTTCCTACCTCACTGACCTGCTCCACCACCACACTCTTTCCCGCAGCCTCCGCCCCCCTCCCCCAAACACAATGGAGACTGCACAGACTTCCACCGATTCAAATCAGTCATCTCATCTTTTCAAAACGGCTTTTAATGTGTGAATAATGTCATTTGTATTTTAGTGTATTCTATATTATAATCGTTTTTAACCAATGAAAAGTGTCTTTGAGTACTATGAAAAGTAGTAGTGGTAGTATGTTTTGAGGTGGGGTTGTGTGATGTAGAAGTCCCTCAGCATGTTCCCAGTTTGCTAAAGCAGGACGAGTGCTGACACTGAAGCAAAGTAATGTACTGCTGTCGACGGTAAAATGTATTTTAGCCACCTAGAAAAAGTCTCACTTAAAAAAAAACGGTATTATTTGGTAAGTTAAGTGTATGCTATATGCCGCTTCACCTTGATGTCAGACAGCAATTTCTGTAGGGTAACTTAAGCCTTTTTAAAGCCAAACTCCATTAAAAAACAACTGTAGTTTAACATCCGTGAACACAGGAGCTGCTGGTCTACTCCTCTAAAGTGGGGGCATGCTGACAAACAGCTACTGTAGGTAATACACTGACTATGGATAAATACTTCATAACACCCCACTTCAGAAAATCTGAACTATCGCTTTAAAATAGACTTCAAGAAAATAAGGTGCTGTTAATTCAAACTGCAAATACAAATAAGTCATTTGGCCAAATCTGTAACATTGTACCGGAGTTATTTCAATGAATGTGCAGCACTTTGTAGACTTGTGTTTTGCTCTATGAACACATATACTTATCATTATTGACTGAATATACTTACTGAGACTGTGAGTATACAGTGGGGATTTTTCCATCTGAATTGTAACCTCATGCTGCTCATTGCTCTCTGACCTTTGATGTTCACCACAGTGACCAAAGATGCTCCAATGAACCTGTTCCTGTCTCCATATTACTGACTCTTTGTAATATTAATTTTTGACTTACCATTATTTCATTGATACAGAAGCTGAGCAGTCAGCCGTTCAGCGGTTTGTCCTTTGACACCGACTACATGGTTCGTGTTGTTCCTTTCCCGACTCTGATGAACGAGAGCTTCTTCCCACCGTCCTTCCTCAGGACCAACTGTGAGTACAGAAATCTCCTCGTTCAAACACAATTGATTTCTTAACTGATGCTCATTTATTGTCTTAGAACATCTTGCATGTGTTTAGCTTAGCTTAAACACTGGAGGCAGGAGGAAACTGTCAGCCCAGCTCTGCAAAATTGATGTGGCTTGACAAGGTTTACTGGACTGCAGCAGCTACAGCACGCAGCATCTTAAAAGTCTTCATACAGTCCTCATAGTATAATTTTTGTTTTATGTTTTCAAAGGTGTTGATTTGTGCGGACTGTAATGTTAAATGTACGTTTTTAAAGGTGGACCCCAGGAAGGTTTGGTTCAATCAAACTCAAGTTTGTTTGCCCCCTAAATGCGGTTTGTTTGGGCTGGTGTGAACACAGCACTTAGCACTTGACACGTATACTGTAGATGAAACTTGTATCTGTTGGGGGAAGACAGAGAAAAGAAGTTTACATGTGTTGCCCAAAATGTGAAGGCTGATTTGTCGGATCACTGAAGTCAAGTTGAGGCTGCATCAGAACAAAAACAGATTGTCTCACCATTTCTCTGTGTCTGTTTTTCTGTGTGTGTGTTCATCTTCCAGCGTGTGAAGTCCTCCTGGGATCAGACAACCTGGTCTGCAAACCATGTAAGTTCCTCAGTGTCGTCGTCATAACCAGAGCCACATGTAGACAGAGTTAGTCCAGAGTTTCATTGTCTTGTTTTCAAGACAAGTTAAACATCAGTAACAGATTTACACAAACATGTTTTAATTTTTCATTTACGAAAGGCTTTAACGTGATCACTACTATGAAGAAGGGTGTTGTTATGTAAGATATAAAGTTGTATGACATATATTTATGGTGCAGATGTTTCATATTAAAAGCCTTCCTGGAAAGAGAGGAGTTATGTTGTGTCATCTTTGCCACATCTTTGGAGGAAGTGTTGAGTTTAAAAGTTGCCCAACAACGATTGAAACATGTAATTAGTTACTGAAAAGTGTTAACAAGAACAACTGACATGGCTGTGGCTGTACTGATTTAGAGCTGTAGTAATTTACATTTTACCGAATTTATCAAGACAAAATGGAAACAGAGAGAAAGTTGCATGAGCAGTTAACTAAAACAAGAGCAGGACAGATAACAGAGAGGCTTCTAAAATAAGGTATACTTATAAAATGGGGAATTTATGAAAAAAGATCTGGCCAAATGGTCTGTAATTATATCATTAAACGGTATGTGTCAAAGTGATTGGAGGTTAAGTTCTGTTTCTGTCTGTGCAGTCTGGAAGCCGAAGACCCTGAACGTGTCTCAGCTGGGGTCGAACCTCCATGTGACGTTCGACCAGGCGCCACCTTCATTCGGATTCCACTTTTACTACTTGTACTACAAACTGCGACAGGACGGACCCTTCAGACAGCAGCGCTGCAAACCTGTAAGTACTGTCAGGTTATTAGCCACAAAACTTTTCTGACTCTGCCAATGGAAAGGGAGGGTTCAGGGTGTTTGGCTGTGACCAGGCCATCAATTTCAGGATTCAGTGTCTTGCCCAAGGAACTCTAATGTGTGCAGGAGGAGCTGAGGATCAACCACAGTGGTAAGAGGTGAAGGGTGGAGATTTAGGTTTTGTTGTATTAGTTGTTATTCATTGAAAGGAAGGACTCCATTTGCACCGAAAAAGAACATTGTGACTGTTGGTTGCTCTGATGTCGCAGCCCTTGTCGTTTCTAAATTGTTTAAATATTTTTTTGTTTTTATTACTCTTTATTTAAAGTATTTTTAATTGTTTAGACAAAACACAAACACCATGTGGAGGCACACCAGTTAAGTGATCATGAATCCATGCGTTAAATGTCCTTTTATTGTCTATACATTCACGATGAAGCTGCGTCCATGTCTTTTGAAATGAAAACAGTCCACTTCTCCAATTTTCTGAGGATTATTGCTCCTTTAAACCTCAGGGAAAAGTCATATTTTCCATTATAAATTTCTCTTAAGGGAATTAATTTCTTTCTCTGTTGATTTTGTCCTTTTTTCAGGACATGAACCAGCCCAGAACTACATGCATCCTCCAGGACGTCACTCCAGGGACCTACACTATAGAGGTACATAAACGCAGCACCTGTCAGCTATCAGATCTGAACTGGATTCTCCTTCTTACCTGTATTTATGGATTAAAACGCAATGATTTTAAATAAAAAAAATCTTGATCGAAGAATTCACATCCATGTCCTAACATGTTGACTTGATAAAATTTCTCTCCTCTGCTCCATCCTCTTTTCTGTGTCAGCTGAGAGACGACAGTAACACAACCAGGAGGCAGAGTCAGTACCACGTCAGCCAGGGTGAGACACTTACACACACACACACACACACACACACACACAGTGTTACATGCTGCTGCTTTAAAGGCATTTCAATTAGCTGATTGTTTTGTCTCATCCTGGGTGCTTTTGTTTCAACTCCAGTCCACTCACCCTGGGCGGGGCCTATCCGTGCCATGGCCATCACCGTGCCTCTGGTCATCATGTCTGCCTTCGCCACTCTCTTCACCGTCATGTGCCGCAAGAAACAGCAAGGTGAGAGCACTGAGCACAGGTGACAGTGCTTGTTTTAATTAACATCATAGCTTTACGGATCTTGGAGACTTGTTAGCACTCTGTAGGGACTCTGAAACTCTCACTGTTGGTGCATTCAAGGATGCTCTGTATGTGAACATTATTGCAATGCATTTGTCTCCTCTCCTCTCCTCTCAGAAAACATCTACAGTCAGCTGGACGAGGAGAGCAGCGAGTCGTCCAATCACAGTGCAGCACTGAACACAGAGCGTCCGTGGCCCCGCCCCAAAGTCTTCATCTGTTACTCCAACAGAGACTGTCCCAAACACACCAGCGTCATCCAGAGCTTTGCCTACTTCCTGCAGGACTTCTGCAACTGTGAGGTGAGACAGTTAGAGGCTGAATGATATGGAGGAAACATTAAATCATAGATAGTATCATTGTCAAATCCGTGTTCACTCGTGTTTAGGTTGTGTTGGACCTGTGGGAGCACCTGGAGATGTGCAAAGAGGGTCAGATGTCGTGGCTCAGCAGACAGCTGGATGAAGCCAACTTCATCATCACCGTCTGTTCCAAAGGCCTACGGTACTCTATCTCTCTACTGTGTCCAAACCACTGGTGATGTTTTTAAAAATGCATCAGCTGCTGTTTCTCTAGTGGCCACTAGAGGCTGCTAAAACAATTTGTAGAGAATATCTAAAAACGTCTCCACAGGAAAAAACAGTAATATTTTACCAATGAGTTATTTACTCACAAGTTATTGATTGTTTTATTAGATATCCTTTCATTAAAATGAGTTAAGGAAGTTAAGAAAAAAAACAAATGGGGGTGATAGGTGAAGACACCTGTAAATCAAGTTATCAAAAACCCTTTACATGCAGCTGTTTAACATCTTATTTAGTTTCCTATTTCTTATCTTTTCTTTCCTTTGCCCTTCTATACTTTCTTCATACTGACCCAGTCTGCTTCCCACTCTCCTTCCTCTCACACATTTTAATTAAGCTTTCTCAAAAACAAAAAACAGGGGTTTAAGATTCTGCTGAAAAGTAGTGGTATCCTCAGTTTTCTAAACATCTTTCCTTACTTATGTAAAGAAAATAATAGTATTTATTATTATCACTATTACTATTAGTAAGTATATATTAGCCAGAATGTTTCATTAAATACATTTTCATGCAAAGAATGCCACATCAGGCATCTCAGGATGTAAATCAGTGATACTCAACTTGTGGCCCGCCTACAAATCAGCCTACATAGGGTGCACACTCTACCCAGTGAGCTAGAGGGTGCCCCTGGACTAATTATTAATACATTTATTATTAATGTTTATTTATCAACTGGCTCCTGGCCTCCTGCCATTTTTCAAACGTGGCCCCCTGGCAAAGCAGGTTGAGTATCCAGATGTAAATCAACAAATCTGTGTTATGTAATTAAATACAAATGCTTGTCCATAGGCACACTACAATAGTTAATCACAAACATATGCTTATACACAGCATGCATGCATACATACATAGATATGCACGTATTTACCCATAAACACATGCACACATACAAACAGTATATTGTGAGTGTAACCGTTCATTATTAACCAAGGAAACAGTAGTTTAAACTCGTAATAACTGCTTTTTTGCCACTTGGGGGCAGCAGAAACACACAACACTGACATATCAACAGCTTTTAAGTTTATATGACAAACTTGTTAGCCAACAGTTGTTTATTTATACACCCAGCAGTTACAAAAACATTATTTTTATTCGGAGTTGTGTTTGTGTCTATACCCTTTTAGCTCTGTTTTTGGTCTCTACTGATTCCTGGTGTCTATTTAGCTGCTAAATGCTTTGTTGTGTTCACCGGCTACAGAGGGTTTTTAGAGCTTTCATGTCAAAAACAGCTGCCTGTTGTGGCTAAAAACAACTTTATGAGAGTGGTGAGAGTGAACCAAGAGAGTGAAGACACAGACAGACAGATCTGCAATGAACTGAACCTCTCTTTCATGCTCTTAAGTTGAGGGGAGCTTCACATTCAGTTTTTATAAATATAAAAATATCGATTGTAGCTCCTTAAACAGAATAATCTCAACTGAAGGATAGGCTCACCCACACCTTATAAAATGTATTGGGTGATCCACAGATTTAGGATTCAATCTTCTCCAGACTAAGACATCAATTGGCTGATCCATCATCTTCCCTTATGTGTTTCCTCTTCTGTCCTTCCTGCCATCTCTCCTTGTGTTGTACTTCCTTGTGTTGTATTTTCTTCCAACCGGCTCTGTTTTCTTCCTGCAGCTACTACGTGGAGAAGAAGAGCCGAAGAGGGAAGACACCAGTCAGCCGCCGCAGTAACAGCAGCAGCAGCAGCAGCAGCAGCAGCAGCAGCTCTCCGATCAGTGGATCAGGTGGTGACCTGTTCATTGTGGGCGTGGCTATGATCGCTGAGAAGCTGCGGCTGGCGAAGCAGAGCGAAGGGGGTGGAGCTCAGGAGCTGAACCGCTACATGGCGATTTACTTCGACTATTCCACAGAAAATGACATCCCCACCATGTTGAGTCTGGCTCCCAGGTAACCATAACGACTCAGGACAAAATAACAGAAACACCTTCAACAAAAAAAAAAAAAAAAAACAGCCCTAAACATACATGTCACCATTTTTGACAGCGATAGATCTGTTAAGAAATTGGAAGATTACACAATAATGAAAATAATTTTTAGTTGCAGCGATAGAGAAAACATAATTTAACAAAGTTCTTCTTTCTTACAGTTTGTATGATAAGGAGATGCAGTGAATTTGTTTACTTAAATCTTTATTTTATTACATACCATAAAATCATCACATTATTTAAAAATGTTTTACATTTCACATATTTTCTTCACAATGTTCAGACCTGCTGCAGCAGAAAAACTGGTATTTAATTTTGACATAATTTGAGCCTGTAGCCTGATCAGTCAGTCATTTTCTGTCCTGTGTTCAGGTTCAAGTTGATGGACCAGCTGCCCCAGCTCTTCAGTCGGCTCCATTGCAGTCAGTCCAGTTTGTCAGATCGAGAGTCGCAGCCTCTGATGGTCTCCAGGAGGAACTACTTTAGAAGTCGGTCCGGACGCTCACTCTACGTTTCCATTTGCAACATGCACCAGCACATCAGCCAGAACCCCGACTGGTTTGAGAAGCAGTTGGCTCCCTCGGGAGGTTCATCTGCCTCCTCCTCAAAACATTCTCCTCTCCCTGCTGTCCCGGCTCCAAGTCCTCCTCCAAAGCCCTCCTGCCCGTCGTCCTCATCTCTACCCGAGCAGAGGTTTGACTCTGGCTTGGTGCTGAATGAGGTGGTGGTGAATACGCCATCCCTAGAGGGTGGGGAGGCAGCGCCGAGGAGGAACATGCTCCTGCTGGCCCCTGGCTCCAGTCCCAGCCTTAACTTAGGCCACAGTCCTAGTCCCAGTCCTGGTCTCTGTCCTAGTCCAGACCTACCACACTGCACTCTGTCAATGCTGGGACCCACTTCAAGGTAAATTTAAGGTGTAATACCACTGACATGTTTCATAGTTTTATTAAAGCTAATTGTGAGTCATATTTTGGTTTTTAAAGGAGAGGTTCAGATTTTTTTCAGGTTTTATCTTGATGCAGTCCTCACATCCCTGTAAGTACACTGGAGGAGTTAGGCTGGATTTAAACTTCTATGTTGAATCGATGCCGTACCCTACACCGTAGCCTGACGTGCACCTCCCCAAAAATGTAACCACATGTCCCGGTGACACAGACCTCCTGTCTATTTTTATAAGCTGAAACCAGTTCCCTCAGTGGAAACAAAGCTTTTATTTGCTTAAATTTGACATAAGAAACAATAAATTGTGAAGACAATAAAGACTCCATAAGTTTTGTGAGTGATCTATCCTGGCTTCATATGAGCAGAGGAAATCTCCTCTACGCGCTAGGCTAATTTATATAATGAAAAATGCCACAGGCTTGTGCTAATAATGTTAGCATGTTGTGTTTGTTTGGAAAATTTGTCAGTTGTTTTTTCAGTGAACCATGTGAGTTGTAATGCAGCCGAATTTTGTAACGTTACCTTAGTTAAATGTTGCTGTTGTCCCTGGCTTCATACAAGTATAGGAAAAGTCTGCTCGCCGCAAGGCTAATTCTTACAATGTAAAGCGCCATAGACTTGTGCTAATAATGTTAGCATGTTGTATTTGTTTGGAAAATGTGTTTAGTATAAGACAGTTGTTTTTTTAGTGAACCTTGTGAGATGTAATGGAGCTGAATTTTGTAACGTTACCTTAGTTAAATGTTGCTGTTGTCCCTGGCTTCATACGAGTTATAGGAAAAGTCTGCTCGCCGCAAGGCTAATTCTTACAATGTAAAGCGCCATAGACTTGTGCTAATAATGTTAGCATGTTGTATTTGTGGGGGAAATGTGTCCAGCAAAAGACAAATGTTTTGTCTGTGAATGCTGCGAGTTCTAGTGAAGCTGATTTGTTCACTTGTGTTTGAAATTGCCGCTATAAAGCCGTGTTTAATGTGTGTTTTGAATCAACTAAACTTAACAGCACTTAACATCACTGCACAAGTATAAATGCTCACAATGGTGTAGGCCATGTTCGTAGGCTCTGCATAGAGCTGGTGCACAAATTTAAATCCCACTTTATTGATCACTGTTATCATTCCTCCTCCTCCTGGACATAGTGTGATCCCTTTATGGGGCAACTCCAATATAAAAGTAACACTTGAATGTCTATTTTTTTATACCATGCCATGAAGCCCCACCTTGAGTCACATCCCGGTTAGAGTCAAAATAGTTTGGACTCCACAGCAGATAATATGAGACCACGTCAGTCTGACTACTGCTGTTTTTTTTTTTTTTGCTCCTGAAGGTCCACCTCTGGAATATCTGGACTGTTACCTGAAGAGTCGTCCTCGTCCTCCGCTCCCTCCATCCTCCAGGATGGGGTGTGCCCTGTCCTCACCCAGGCAGAAGAAGGCCGCCATTCCCCTCCAGATCTCCCGCCCCCTCGTGATTCGGGCATCTATGACTCATCTGTCCCTTCCTCGGAGCTCTCCATTCCTCTAATGGAGGGACTGTCACATGACCAGGTGGACTCCTCCTCCCTGGCGGACAGCGAATCATCTTCTTCTGGGCTCGGTAAGGCCGGCTGTACTTACATGTCATGTGACAAATTCAGATCTCATTTCCTGATGTGACTTTTAAAGAAAGGCAAAATAAATGATGTCACTCACACCTGGCTGTGTAACTTTCAGGTGACGAGGAGCCGCCCGCTGTGACATCGCTCCGCTGCAGCGCTGCCACAGTTTGTAAAGCTGAGCTTCACCACCATCACCACCTGGAGCACAGTGACGGACTCACACCTGTGGCATCATTGTAGGGGTGACACCTCCTGTCGATCAAAGGAGGACCAGCCCAGTGATGTCATCACAGGGCCAAAACTGTATTGGTCATGGACCTGAATCATCTCTTAATAGTGCTGTCATCCCATCGCCACAGAAATGAAACTGGACATTTAATGGCACTGCAGTGGTTCACCTATGGCAATGACTGTGCTCTAGACCACTGGTCTGTAGTAACTATGGCAACCACTGAGTTAGAGGACACTGGCAAGTATTGGTACCACTGAGTTCTAGAACACGAATTGCTGGTGACTATGGTAACCACTAGGGGTGTAGTGATCCATCCATCATGATCGATGTATCAATTCAATGGTCAGCGATCCCTAATCACTGATGCAAAGTGAAAACATTCATTTTTATAGCTGTGGGGAGAGGCTTGCCTTCAGGGTTTCAGGCCAGATCGCTCAATAGTTTTAGGAAAGAGATAATGTTTTGGGTGAAAATGAAAACATTTCTTCCAGAACGGGCTCTCTGGCAGAAAGCCCTGACGACTAACTTATCCCATGTGCTGTTTTATGTGTGTTAGTGGAGTCAATTCAAAGAAAACTAAACTCAACCAGAAACAAGTTTTTACAATTATCTGTGTTGTTTTTATCTTTTATAGACATAAGCAAAAACAGACAAATGGTGGCAGCTTCGGCTGTAGCTGAGTGTGATAAATCAACGTATGATATCGTCTCGTGTTGATCACAGGCCCATGAATCATGTTGCATGGCATCAAAATTGTATCTTGGCAGACTAGGTAACTACTGTGTCATAGAACTCTAGGCCCAGATAACTAAGGTAACCACTCACTACTCCCTGGTAATCATGGTAACTACTCTGTCTAGAACACTAGTCCTTGATAACTATGGTAACCACCAGTTTTAGAAAACTACTTCCTAGTAACTATGGTTACTACTGCATTAAGACCATTAGTTCCTGGTAAATATTGTGTTCTAGAACCCTGGTCCTTGGTAACTACATTAACCACTGAGTTCTAGGACACCACTCCCTGGTAATCATTGTAATGACTGTGTCCAGAACACTAGTCCTTGGTGACTACAGTAACCACTGAGTTGTAGGACACTACGTTTGAGTAACTATGGTACTGCATCTAGACCACTTGTCCCCTGGTAACTAAGGTACTTTGTTCGCCCCGCTGGTCGCCCTGCCTGGATGAGTTTTGAAGGACTGGATCTCCAGACGCTGGCAGAGCGGACCAGCTCAAACCAAAGACTGCCTCAGCACTGCGTCTTGATTTACTGATGGACAGCTGACTTATGTATGAGTCGATGTTTAGGCACTTTCTGATGCAGAAAAGCAGGAAGACAAACATGTTAAGATGCTCCCCAGCAACGACATCCAGTGAGATCAAAGATTCTTCAACAAAAGCTGCTGAATGTATCAACACCTAACGACGTCGATAATGAGGCAGCATTCCAACAGAGAGGATATTTTTTGTATTATTCCCAACATTTAGGACCAAAACCAAGTATACAACAAATACTTTGGGGGGGCAAAATGCAGACCTGTTGATGAATGCTGTCCCTTAAAAAGTTTTCATATTAGGAAGAGCAGTTTTAAAAGAACATTTTATTAACATGCATTGGAGTTTAATGAGCAGGTTTTTCCTTCTAAGTGTTTTAATAGCAAACTCTGTTTAAAAGGTTTCAAACATAGAAATGTCCTCTAAATATTTGTTGACTCGTCCTCATAGCAGCAAGTAACATGACGACCATGGCCTAATCCTAAATCATTTAAGTATAAAAGAATATTGACAACTTTTAAACAACTGTCGAACATGTACTAAAACCTGCTAATGTGATGTAATAAGATGAAAGAGTTGTGTGAAGTATGTGTTAAATTGGAATTTAGTTTTTTATTGAATTTGATAACATACAAGTCAAACGCATTCAGCTGGTGCTGCCACTCATACACCACGACGTATTGAATACTGTGGTTACATTGTTAATCTTGTGGTTACATATTTTAAAGTATTGAATATTAATGTTACATTTATAGTCGTGTATTCATTTGTAATCCTTTTCTAACGTTGCAGGAAGCAGCGATGATGAGGGCATTATGAAAAGTTGTAAAAAATACTAAATCACTTTAAAGATGCAGCCGTGGAAGCCCATTTCTGCCAGAACAAATTAAATACATGAAATGTTGTCAATAAAATGAAGTCACATTTTTGATTTACTGTGTGAAAATTATGAGATACAAAGTTAATGTCATAAGATAATATTTTAGTCCCCCCCAAAAGTAAGTAAATATTCTCAACTTTGATTATAAAATTAAGATGAATTAAAAATAAGTTTGATTTACTAGAAAAATTTTGGCCTAAAAACTTGTAATTGTCTCAAAATTGTGACTTAGTAATTATTTTAACTAAAGCTGAGAATTCTTATTTTATTAATTCCTTTTTTTGGTGCAAATGAGCTTCCATACTCTTCTCAATTATTGACCCCATGAACTTATTTAATATCTGACACATGTAGAACACTATGACTGTCAGTTTTTGATTGTTTTTATCATCGGCAGCTGCAGTCATTTTGTTTCTTAATCTGGATCCAGCTGTGTTAAAGGTTTTATAAAGTCTTTTTTTATGTCCCTACGTTAATGTTTGAGTCTCTGCTGAAGGCAGAGTGACGGCTCCTGGTTTATCTGCAGTTGATGGAAGGGAAGATTCAGCATTTCCAACTTGTAAATAGTATTTTTATTTTTCCTGGAAATGTCTGTTCTGCTTCAGTTTTGTATAGGTTAGACTGTTGTTTCATTATTCTTTCTACATTTTATAGAAATGTACTGTTTTATAGTACCTTAATGTAGGAAATAGATAAATCCATCTAATAAAACGTTTGTTTTTTCGCCCTTGTTTTTTTCATTAACTCTCTGACTGTTCAGCCTTCATGATAAAAATAACAAGCATGCTTTATGCAGGTACTTAAACCAGATGACTAGAATAGAATAGAAAGCCTTGTCATTCCATAGGAATACAACAACATTAGTTGTGACACTCAAGTGATGCCAACAAAGAACATAAAACAAATGACACAGGGTGTTCAGTGAGAGATAAAACTGCAATATGTGCTAATTTATTTGTTTTATTTAGTGTGTTGATGGCTGTGGGAAAGAAACTGTCTCTGAGTCTGGTGGTTCATGTTTTGGCAGCTCTGTAGCGTCTGCCAGACGGCAACAGTTCTAAGAGTTGTTGACCAGGGTGAGAGGGATCTTTGGTGATGTCTGATGATTCTTTGCAGAGCCTTTTAATCTGCAGCAGTGCAGCCTGTACACCACCAACATGCAGTATGTGAGGACGCACTCTGAGGAAGTGAACTCTCTGCTGTGCTCTTTTTATTGTCACTGTGGTGTTGGGTGACCAGGGGAGATCCTCAGAAACATGAAATCCCAGGAATTTAAAAGTCTTCACTCTTTCCACATATACTCTGTTAAAGCAGAGGGGGGGGTAGATCTGTTTCAGGCCTCTTCCTGAAGTCCAGTGTCATCTCCTTTGGTTCTGTAGTATTCAGTATTAGGTTATTCACTGAGCACCACTACGACAATCTTCATACCTCGTACTAACAAAATTACTCACAATATGAGGCATAAACATAAACTCATGCACATATTGTAAATTGCTGCAAGCTACAAAGCTGTTTCTAAAAGTAGTTTGTCAGGTAACCAGAAATACTCCACTACACTATATATATTGCTTTACGACTGGTAATAGTCTCTCATCTGCTTCAAGCTGACGAGCAAGTTTTAGTTTCTTGTAGTAGAATATACACACACACACTTCAGTGACACAGAAAGCAGCAGACAGCTCTATAGTGTGTGAGCTGCGAAGCGATAATGCTTAAAACAACAGAAGCCTCTAAAACTCACAGACCTTCAGGCTCAAAGGCACAAAGTCAGCTCAGCATGGGTCTGCCTTCAAAATAAAAGCACAGGTCTTGTCACTGTTTGGAGTGCAGCTGCAACTAATCATTTATCAATTCTTTTGGCAAAGAGTGAAAACTGTGCCAACCACCCCCAGTCTCCCTTCCATTTACTCAAGTATTGTAAGATTTTGACTTGGAGTTGAGTTAAATTTCATTAGAATTCTCTGAGATTTATTCACAAGTGATAAAAACAGATTAATATAGCACTGGGGAGGGACTTTGGCTTGAGGGAAGGGCATACAACAGTTTCTTTAAAATAGCCACAATTACAACATTTGTCATAACCAGAAACGTATGCTTTTTATACTTAAGGATTTCATCTCCAACTTTTAACCTTTAACTTCCAAACATCAAAGGGTAACTTTTAAAAATCTAATATCTCCGGACTATAGTTGATAACAAACTGAAGTTTAATTGGCACACTGAGGCTTCCTGTAGAAAGGCCTGCAATGTCTTTCTTGCTGAAGGAAACTGTCTAAGTTTTGCATCCATAAGTCTCTTATGATCCCATTTTACAGATGTTACATTGAGTCTGTCTCGACCTTCTCTCTTCTCTGCTGGTTTGGGAATCTCAGCATCAGGTCCAAAAATGCACTAAGTAGCACAGTGAAATCAAGTAGCAAGATCTTGGGAGTACAGCAGAGTACTTTATCTGTCCTGTTTTATAAGCAGATAGGAAGGAAGGCTAAAGCCTTCCTTTCCGACAGCTCCTGCCCCTTATCCTCTGAGTTCAGTTTTTGCCTCCTGGCTCTTGGCTCAGTTTTCCCCCTGTTAAGAGTAACAGATTCAAGTGCTCCTTCATTCCTACTGCCATTTCTCTTTTGGATGCAGGACACTGGACTAGTCAAACTTAGTACTGAGGCTGCTCTTTTGGCTGGTTGTTGCTCTTGTTATGATTATGTGATGAGTGATGGTGATGATGATGACAGTGTTGTTGATACAGATAGTTGTTGTCGATGAGCATTGTTATTGAGTATATATATGTTCTCTGGTGTCTTTTTTTATGTATGTTTTTACCTGCTGTGCAACTAAAGCCCTGTTTCCACCAAACTCTTTCAGTATGGTACCTCTGGAACCAAAGTAACCCTTCAGACATGGTACCTAGACCCCAGCGGAGTTGGGGTTGTTGGGGCGGGGTTATTGTCACTCACTGCTCCATCCATCAGTCACTGTATTTCCTCATTACCGGTGACACAGATGGAAGTCTGCACCTCATTTTTTGTCCACAGAACGAGGCTACACGCTGACATTTTCAGAACAAAATAAAACAGGCTGCAGTGAGAGTCTCTCTCCATGGGTATTTAAAAATAGTGGGTGCATTTAGTCCTTCTCAGGCAAGCTCAGGGGTTTAGTGTTGCCAAAGCCCACAGGAACAACACTCCACAACACTTTTTTATTTCTCCAAGTGAGGATTAGAATATGCACATAACCAGGTTGAAATTAATACATAGGAACAATTGAAGATCCACTCATTACTAAAAGTGTATGTCATATAAAAACTGAAGTGATGGTCAAAGTTGTCACATCGAAATTCAAGGTGAGCTGATGGATTCACATTGTCACCTCATGCATTGAGTAACATTACAAGTTAATGTTCCACCTTAAAAGTCACCGTCAGTTGGCCCAGTGAATTAAGTTATTTTTTTCTCAGACTCCAGCTGCTGTGAGAGGCAGCAAAACATCCTTTCATTTCTAGTTACAATTTACTAATAAAACTCTCCACAGTATGAACAGTGGTTATATGAGTCTCAAAACCAGACACAACTCAGCCCTGAGCAGAGTGACCGTCCTCTATTGACCTATCAACAGACTGCAGTGTTCACAGCTCCACCTTTTAGTACCAGATCTGTGTGCTAGGTACCCCAACAGAGGGGGGACCAAACATGGGGACGGTAGAGAACGGTTCCATTGGTACCATCCACAACTTTTCACAGTGGAAACAAAAAAGCATACAGAAATGAACTGTACTGTACTAGACTGCTGTGTGGAAATGGGGAGCCCACAGCCAGTCACTCAGGCAGACTCAAGGAAAAATATGCCACCACCTCCTCTGATAAATAAAGAACAGTCCCTTATATACTGTTAAAGGAGCTGCTCTGCACAGTGAGTAATTTTACTTTTGATACTTAAAGTACATTTTGCTCACAATTCCTACATAATACTTCTCTTCTTATGTATTTCTATTGCTTTAACAAAAAAAAAAAAATCTGAGACCTCAAAAATGAACAGTAACTCAACGGCTCTTATTTTGAAGGCGTCACCGGAAGACAGCCAAACCGCTCTTCCTCGTGCTTGACGGTTACATGAAAGGAAGATTTTCTCAGCGGCTCACAGTTTGTTTTTCAGCCTCAATCTCTGCACGCAAGTTTGTTTCTGGACTCATTACAGAAGAGGAAAAGTTTATTTGTTTTCTGACACCGGAAGAGTGACAGCAGCCGGAAACAGTTTTGTGTCAGTGTTTGTTGTTTAGAAGTGAGTTGGTTGTGGATCTGTTTGTGATCGTCGGGAGGAGCTGCAGCCCGATGCAGGCAGGTGATGGATGTCAGCGGGGTCCAAGGTGAGCAGCTGCTCTGGGAAACATCAGGTCTCTGCAGGTTTATGGTGAAGAAAATGGAAAATATGTAATTAAAAATGGGCGTTTTCTGTTAGAGTAAGAGAAGAAGAATGTGAGGAGGACAGACAGGGAGTTAACTCTTCCACCGCCTGCCTGCCTGTCTGTCTGACTATGTGTCTGTCTGTCTGTTAACTTTCTATAAGCTGTGTGGAGAAGTTTAACCCTGACACATATTGTGTCCAAGACAGAGAAGAAAAAAGGTTTTACTGCTGCTCTGTGAGTCACAAGTTTGCCCGAGAGTGACTTGTAGTCTCCACACACACACACACACACACACACACACACACACACACACACACACACACACACACAGAGAGCTGTAAACAATTTCAGCATGGCAGCTTGGTGTGGAAAATCATGTTTATTTGTTGGTTTTTGCATACTGATCCTACCAGTGAATGGAAGTAACTAAGTGCATTTACTCAAGTACTTTACTAAAGCACAATTTTCAAGATACTTGTACTTGAGTATTTTCATTTCCATCTACTTTATACTTCTCCACTACAGTTTGGAGAGAATTATTGCACTTTTTACATTACTACATTTACTTGATAACTTAAGTTACTTTTAGGAATGCATAATGTTGGATTTTTTTTTCCAATATCCGATATGCTGATGTGTAACAACCTTTTAGACAGATGACTGATACCGATATACCGTAAAACTTCAATTAGTAGCCCAGGCTATTATTTGCTTCAATTATGAAGTCAACAGGCTTGTAATAGGGACAGGCGTCTATATGGGACAGGCCTTTATTTCCTTTTGCGCAAAACCATTGCTCACTATGAACCAGTCTGAATATTACTTATATAAATTAGGCTTTGGATAACATATCAATTACAAATCTTTAATTTGATCCAGCTCTGACAGGGATCAGAGAGAGCGTTACGAGGATTACGGCACCCAGCATACTGGTTATAACTTGCTGGGTAATTAAGAATGGACGCATATTCTGAGTTAATAACAGCTTCAGAGAAAGGGAGCCATCATTTTATTTTTGTCACGCCAGTAAATCTGAATGAATTACGGTCTTCTCTGGTGCTCACAGTAAAATAAACTGGACTATTTAATTATGGAAAATCTAAATGAGCTAACGATGTGTAGCATCTCCATATTGACAAAAGTTTAAACATTTATATTTTTAAGTGCGTTCTAAACAGCTAACTAACGTTCGCTCAAGTGGGTAGCCAACAACCTGTCTTATACATCCAAAGAACTTCCATAAAAATGAACAGCTCGGCAAACAAACCAGGCGTCTAATTGAGACAGGCCTTTATTTGTCAAAATAAAGGCCATGCAAGCAATGT